GCTGCAGGGGTGGGGGTACAGGAGAAGAGGCGGAGCCAAACAATTGGTTTGGGTTAAGTTAGTTTTTTCGGAGGTGGTCCGTAAGAGAGGCAGAACCTATTGCATCCACGCACGCACTTTCCCATCCACACAATAATTGGTTATCTTCTTTCTAATGTTATTCTCAATCTATAGAGTAAAATATAGTTTTTTTATTACAAGAACAAAGACGTTAAGTTTTTCAAATAATTAAAATTTTTTCTCGGAAACTAAGCATTTTTGGAATTCAACACTGTGGGTTTCGACTATATTTAGGGTTGGTATTACATACCTGTAAAATTTTATTTAGGTGGTTTTCAGAAGTTTATCCAATATAACAATATATCTTTATTTTACATATAATGAGCAATAAATTAAGATACAATGATGCAATAGCGCTAACAGTGCGCTCCGCGAATGCACCCTAAATTGATATAGTATATCATAGTAGTCGTGTTTCACTTATTATTAATACATAAATCAACTTTTTCTTCTAAATATCTAAATACTCTGTCAATTTTCATGTGTATGTGATCGCAGTATGTGAATGTATGCGTGTGGACATTGCACGTTTGTGTCATCTCTCTCTCTCTCTCTCTCCCCCTCTCTCCCTCCCTTCCTCCCTCCCTCCCTCCCTCCCTCCCTCCCTCCCTCACCAAACAAGACAGACCAAGAGTATTGCAATACAATTTCGTAGAACAAAAAGCGGACAAAAAAGTTTGTTTTATGAAGATTTGAATATGTATAACGCCTTACCGACATAGATGAAGCAATGTCGAAGAATAGAACCAATTAAACGTATGTTAAACAAATATATTGTGCCTTATGTAGAAGAATTGATGTAAAGATATTTGATGTAAAAAATAGTCGAAATCACACGAAGCACGATGACAAATTCTAGAATGATTAGCATACTGCTATCTCGGAATTGACTGCACCGATTTTATTCGAACTGGTTAGACAGCTCGCAATCGACAGCTTATATCGACAACGAATATCTTCCTGTTTGGATACATTAGAAGTATTTCTGTTACAAGATCGACCTGTCGTAAGCAGTATGGTTATGGCTGAAAAAGCAAAAATTGGCGGATCAATGAATATTTATGAAACAGTTGCTCATATGATGAGTAAGCAGTTTTATACAAATATGAAATATGTTACTCCAAGTATATTTATTGGAATAAGTACACGGAGAGAATTTTTTGTTATATTTTACCCTTAAATTCACTAAAAACTTGGGACAACTTGACAACTAAGGAATTTTTAAAATATACAAAAGATATTTTACAAACAATGTAATAAAAATTACCAAGCAGATTGGTAAATTTTGAAAAATTATTAAAATTTTCTAGACACATTTTAGTAAAATTAATCAAATATATTTTATATTTTAATGTAATATTAATATTTTTTATTATATGGTGGATATTAATCAGAATAGCTTGCATAAAATATTTGGTGGTACATGTTGTCCCACAACTACCATGATTTCTGGGTAAATTTTAAGAGAAAATTTTCTCCGTGTAGGTAATATCTCAAAAAATGTATTTTTTGCACAAAATTAAATTTACAGGAATGCTTATAATATTTGGAAAACTATCTCTCACAATTGCAGTAGACTTAACCCTTTAAGTCTCTACGTGTTTTTCTCATTTAAATTATTATTGTATACTTAAGTTCTAATCAAAATTTTCAGGTCGCAATTGATATTTAGAAGAAAAAGGAGTTGTTTTTTCCAAAAATTTAGTCAGCCATAAAGTGGGATATCTAAAAGAAAGAAAGAGAAGGTTGAAAGTAAAAGCAAAAAAAAATGACCTTTGCCTTTTGACACAAAAGTATTTAATTAATAAATAATTTTGTTTAGAATTTTTGTTATAGATTACTCAAATAATAATTATATCGATTTATGCTACTATTCATACGTGGAAAGAATCGGGCTAATTAAGAGCTAATCGTTGTTGACGATGCGAAAATTATATTTATTCTTCTATGGATTTAGACGACGTACGTTTCGGTCTCTATTCGGATCGTCTTCAGCAACTAAACAGATTTTACAAATTAGGTAATGGAACATAAAATTTGCAATGCTTTATACAGCTAAGTTAAATACATACTGTGCTGTGTAAGATGTAGAGTGTAACAATTTAATTTAACATGACGGTGACCACCAAAAAATCTCAAAATATACGACGACAGCTGCAAATGAAGTAAACGCAGCGAGAGAACCAATCAGCATCGCGGAAAAGAGGCAACAATAGCTGCGATATATTCGAGTATCGACTTTGCACGCCTTTTTTAGAGAGGGAATCTTGCAAAACGTTAAGTAGGCCGAATAATTAAAATTTGATTTTCTCGGAAACTAGGCATTTTCATAACTCCACGATAGTGGCTACGACTACGTCGACGTTTAGTAATAAGTACTACGCACCTGTAGAATTTCATCAAAATCGGGCTTGAATAGTATACTAAAGTGTTAAAGCCAAACCTCGTATATTGTAATAAACCGAGTTATTAATTTATTAATAATTTTCTGTAAACACCGTTGTTTTAAACATTTCCATATTTTATTATTCTTTACAATTTTATTTAAATTAGTCAGCTTAGTGATTTTATAATTATGACATGTAATTTGCACTAGTTTTCTTATTTTATTATTAGTAAAACAATAACTTTAGTAAAACTACTATTATTAACACTACTTCACTATTTTACTGTTAGTTGATTTGTTTTTTGGTCAATTCTGCACAGAATGAAGAACGGTAAAAAATGATAATCCAGTACTCACCAACTGTAATAAGACATGACATTTCTATTTTTCTCTAAAATATATGTCAGATATTTTGAAAGGTTATTTCTTACCGTAGCAGCACCTTCTAATGATCCCACAAACAGTCCAGCAATATTCATAGTGAACGCCTTGGTACCTCTTTGCAAGAGAAACAGTATCATTTTTTGTATTTGCAACGGAGCTACGTACCACTGACCGTTGTACCTATGTGATGATTAATTAATAATTGAGAAATATAAATAAAATCTGTGTCTACAAACAGTTTTATCATACCTTTCTTAAACTACGAGTATATATTAAATGTATTTTTTATTACAGTGATCCATATAACGAATGTGTGCATATTTGTCGTACGGATATATAATATAATTTTATCGCATAAAATAATTTCTTACACGGTCACAAAAACGTTATCATTATGATCCATAATTTTTTGAGCAATATAGTTGCTTACAAACATGTAAGTCAAAAGATACATCATAAATATTAATCGTAATAAAAGTTCTTCAATATCACATTTAAAGGATGTGATCTGAAAAATCTAAAATACATGGATATTGTAATAATTGTCATAAAAATAAAATCAATGTTATAAAAAAAATAACAATTAATTAGAATTGTTTGAATGAAAATTTAGTAGTAACTAATCTTATTACTATTATTTATAAGTATATATCATAAAACAAAGACAGTATTTACCAGAAAAATATTAAGACTTCCGCACATTACACCGGTTATTATCGAAAAGGCGAACATTATTTTAAATCTAGATAATGTCGAGTTAGAAAATCTTCAAATAAAAATATTATTATATGCGCGTATTTTATATCCTAATTATTATAAATATATAATTTATATTGCTTATTAAATACTAACTTCATAGCTTTGCGATGCATATCCACAGCACAAATTAATCTTTTGTATATCAAATATTCGTCTTGCAAGCTGTTTTTTCGTACAGTTTCGAGTGTCATTGTACGTGCGATACGATAACTGCAAATGATTCTTTTAGCATCATTAAATGGCCTTTCTATTTTTCCAATTTGATAAATTTTTTATATTTGTGTTTATATTTATTCCCTTACCAGGTAATTTGAAACATTCCACATGTATGTTGTGAGTAAACTATGAACATTGTTCCTGTCGCTAGCATTGCAATTAACCCAATAAAAAAGGCTGCATTTGTATGGAAGAATATCAAGTAGAAATATCTTTTATCGACAAAATATTCTGTCACAAGCAGCGGCGAAATATGTGCGCGAGTTTCATTCATAAACAGTAAGGTGTAAAAAACGCGCGACCAGATTGGGTATAAAATTAAAATAATTGCGATAAATATAACAAGCACTGAAAAATGTTTAAGGATCAATTATTTCCATAAGAAGTTTATTATAAACTCGCCGCGCGTTTAGTTTTTCAAATATCATATTTTAAATATAATAATTCGCGTTCAAAGTAAATCTAAAGCAGTTGTCTTACATGTAAACGCAATCGTGTAACGTTTTGCACAGATAGCATACTGTCTTATAATATTGATTTCATTTTCGTCAGTTAACTCGTTACAAGTATGCTGCATTTGCTCCAACAAATACTTTATCTGTCAATAATGCATACTATTTCTGTTAATCATATTTTTAAAAAAATTTCTTGTTTGTATTCTGTAAAAAGACCTATTTTTCGGAAATATTTCCGAAGAATTGATTTTTTTATACAATACAACTTGTTTTCGAAAAATAATATATATGAATACAATCTATATATATATAATAGAATGTTTGTATGTATGTTCTTTATACACTCTTAAACTATTCGACCGAATTTTTACCAAAAGTATATAAAATAGGGGTAGAATTTTTCGGGGAGTGTTATAGAGTGTATAGTTTTTTGTTATTGATCTTTTTGGGAACCGATATCCGAAATTCTTCAGTTTTTCAAAAAATAATTGACCGAATTTTAAAAAATTGTATATGAAACAGGGGTAGAATTTCCCGGGGAAGGCCATGAACTGTATAGTTTTTCGTTACCGATCTTTTTCGGACCTGCAGTATCAGAAATTTTTCCAATTTCTCGGGAAATAATTGACCGAATCTTAAAGAACTGTACATAAAATAGGAGTAGAATTTCCCGGGAAGTGCCATAAAATGTATAAATTTTCGTTATCAATTTTTTTGGAAACCGGTATCAAAAATTTTTCCAATTTTTTTGGAAATAATTGACCGAGTAGAAAAAGATTGGTTACGACATGTTTAATCCATGAACACTCCTTATGTTTGTCCACAATAAGGATAAATGAAGTTGTTTTAAGGAAAACGACTCCCGGGCGAAGCCCGGGTAACCAGCTAGTATTATACATATAACCGCATGACACTCGAGAAATTATTGGAGCTGAATAGCTAATATTTATGTAATTAATTAGCAAAATGAAATAAATTAAACATATTACACTGCAGAAGAATTTCATAATTATTATCTGCATATTGCATGAAAAGAATATCTGTTTATATACATGTAAAAATAAAATCTATAAAACGAATAAAAATTTAGTTAATTGCATAACTCAATAATATAACATATTTATTTAGGAAATATCGACATGGATACTTTCATGAAAGAAATATCCCCAGGATTCTTCAAAAGTACAGTTTCACTTATTAATGTTAGATATAGCATATGTAAATTTTTAAAGTTTTGAAGAACGCCTCAATTATTGTGTCAGTTCATTAGCCATCTTGAACTGATTATTGAGTTATGCTATGAACTTTATTGTTGACCCTTTTTTATAATATTAATTTTTACAAGTTTATATATGACTCTTCTTTTACACTACATGTTGGTACAAAAAACTGGTTTTTTTCTGTAGCGTTTAATTTATTTTCTGGTTTTTGCTTATCATAAAATGAAATCGATTTAGTTTCACAAATTTCCCAACTGTCATCCAGTATGTTTTACTTACGACTTCAACGTTAATACTAAATATACTATATTTAATTGCAAAGGTAATGTAAAATAATGCAGATGCAAGAACATTAATAAGGAGATCTGGAGTACATTGTGATGTCAGAAATGTTGCAAACTGCAAAGAAATTTTTTTATATAATTTTACACTAAAATTATTAACTATTTTCTTATGCAACCAGAAAAAGGCTCTAAGTCTTTAATTGTTTTACAATGTACCATAATTTAACATGAGAAAGCTATTTAACTGCAATATATATTAAGCAAAACACTAGAAATTACATTTTTTTATATGTAATAACAAATACATGTTATAAAATCAATATCAATATATTTAATATTGTGACGATCTTATAACGATTTTGATATATTAAAACGCAAAATAAAAGATTGCTAAAAATAACGTATTATATTTTTTTATCTTGTTATTATATAATTAAAATGATTAACATACCTGACCTAGGATATAGGTCGCCAAAACACTAAAAAGCAATGTGAACTGGAGTTGAACAAGTTTAGACTGTTGATAAGGCCACAGACCAACTGTGAGTAACAGAAACCGATTGAGGCTAATATGTAAAGAGTCGATACAGATCATTTCTCCACGAGTATGCAGATGTGTGTGACACCGGAGAGGCCAGTTCGCTTTTTTTTTTTATCAGTTGCATATTGTATTACTTCATTTTTTTTTATGCTTTAGCTCAAATTCTAACGTAAATTATCTAATTTATCGAAAATGTAACAAAATATTACCATGAGATAGGAACACGCGCAATTTATCAACTTTATCTTTAAATAAGTCGGTGATCAAGCGACATAAGATAATAGAACAGATGTTTATTTCTCATAGGTAAATATGAATTCTCTGACAAAAGATCGCGCAGGCGTATTTGCCAGTTTTTAGTAGCGCATTTATTCATTCGTTTCGTAGTGTGTGAACTCGTAAGTTTCACTTTGATCCTTTAGAAAAGTGGCAGACGGTCAGCTTTACATTTCGATACATCAACCATTGACTTAATATTTGTTAAATTTAATATACCACCGTTACCGATAAAATATATTTTTCTATATATTATTATAAACATACATATAAACATACATACATATAATTAAGAATATTATATAAAGTGGTTTCTTACGGTGTGGAAAATACATAGTTATTGTGATCCGTGATTTCTTGTCCAGCATAGTTGGCTAAGAACATATATAAAAGGATGATAGCTACAATTAGAAAGTGTAATAAAAGTTCTTCTTTACTGTTGCCAAACGTTACACTTTGAAAAATCTAAAATACACCATGTTTCTTGAATGTTTGATCTATATATTAGTATCAATTACTATACAGAAATAAATTCTATATTGCAAGCAAATTAAAAGATACAAGAAAATATGTGAGTTTCTTTAGTTTTTGTATAATTTTAGAATTATTTGGTTTTACTTTTTTTTAAACTTAGATTCTCAATTATTTTTATGGTCTCTTTATCTTTATTAAATTAATAATTGATCTTTTAAATCAAAATATTGTGAAATATTACTTTATTTGTCTAATATATGTTACATAAAGATGCGAAAAGACTTACTCGGAAAAGGTTGAGGCTCAAGCAACATACACTATAACTGCGATTTAAAATAAGAATCATCACTCAAAGTTGGTTATCAAAAATTCGGCAAATCTTCAAAAGTAAAAAGGTATTACTACATATTGGAGATTTTATTTAAAAGTATATTGTAATTTTGAATTTTGTAAGACATGTTTTATTATTACATAAGTGCTAACTTTATAGCTTTACGATGGATATCGACGGCATAAATCATTGCCTTATAAATCATAATTTCATTCTCTATGCTATTTTGTAAAATATTGATCATCATTGCTCGCTTGATACGATAATTATAAATAATATATTTAATGTAAATGTAGACTTTTTCTCTACATTTATATTTTAGATAACAAATGACATTCTACTTGAGACAAACGTTTATTTTCCATGTATTCTTTTTCTTACCTAGCAATCTTAAACATTCCACAGGCATGTTTGAGGTATGTTATGAGCATCGTTCCTGTTGCTATATGTGCAGTTGCTCTTATGCAACTAGCTACATTTAAGTGCAGCAAGATTAAATAGAAATACTTTTTCTGGTCGACAAAGTATTCAGTCGGGATAGGCATCGTTATACGTGGCCGAGATTCATTCATAGGCATAACGATATCGAGGATGCGCGGCCACATTGGCACGGAAATAATAGCAAATGCATTGCACAATGTAATCTCTGAGCATATTAAGCAAAAGTCATTTTGCTTCTTGTAAATAATGTACAAAATTGATTTTTTACTCGTACGAACATAATGTTGAATGATGTTGAATATATGCTGTCAAAATAGCAGGAAAATAAGAAGAAACACATGAGAAAGTAATAATATTCCAGAAAAGTATTTCATGTAAAGTAAATTGTTTTTAAATTCTCCGGAATCGGTTTTTGATATATTTCATAAGTTTATTTATCTACTAATTATTGTCAATAATTTTTGCACAAAATTGAATGTAAATCTTTATAGAATTAGAATTAGAAATGATACTTTATTACCCCAAGGGGTCTGATGTAAATCTTTATATATTTCTTTAATATTTTGCTTTTTTATTTTCAGTGATAATAAAAATTAAGTAAAATTGCATACTTTCCATTATATTTTACATTGTGATAAAAATACGACATTTAGTTATATAGCAGTGTAAAGTATAAAGCAGCAAACTCATTTATTTTTTAAATTTTTGTAAGAAGAAATTGTGATCTATTTTTTGCTATAATTTATTTTTTACTGCGCTTCACGTAAAGAAGATTAATATATTTTATCTTACGTATAATTCTAATCGTGTAATGTTTCGCGTTGCATCCATATTTTTCTACGATAGCAATTTCATTTTCATCTTTTAAATCAATATAGATATGTTGTAGTTGATCCAGTAAATATCTGACTTATTATATTAACAATATGTTTTGCTACTTGTCGTAAAGTTTCGAAAAGATTGTATAAAAATTTATTTATAATGGTTGAATAATCCAACTTACAGTTCGAATATTAATCCAAATCGAGTTATATTTAATTATAAATGAAATCAAAAGTAATATCTAAGAAAAGATTTTAATTGCAAGACCAAGTGTGTATTCTGCAGTCAAAAATGTCGTAAGCTATAATCAACAAATTTATTACAAAAATTTATATTAATATAGTTACTTCTTTATAATAAAACAATTTAAGTGACACTTCGTAAGCAATAGTTGCTTTTTTTATGCATAATAATTTTGTAATCACTATATATAGCTTTTATATTACATAATTTTAATATAATTAAATTACATTATATTATTACACAGTACACCTAATATATCATATTGTATTATGAAATATAATGTATAAAATATGATTGTATAAAAGTTGTATAATTATCTATAATTGAAATACTATAATTGATTGCATAAGAATGATGTTTGATTATATAAAAATGTATATTATGATTACTTAACATTATCCATATGTTATATAAATTATTTAATATTAAATAATAAATTTTAAATATATAGTGACTTACGACATACTAAAACGTATCAAAAATATACCTGAAATATAATGCAGTTCATCAAAATACCAAAAAACAAAATTAATTGTAATTGAACAAGTTTTGATTGATTGTAGGGCCATAAGTCAATGGCGAGTAGTGTAGGAAAATGGGCAGTTATGATGCAGCGTTTTGTATAAATGTATTATGCAACACGTGCATGGAAAGTGCCCTATTACGCACGCTACGCGTGCGTGATAGACCACTTTCCAGGCACTTGCAACATAAAATAGGGAGTGTAAGCCGTGTGTAAAGATGAAAATTCCCGGGTGCGGTTATCGCACTCGCCTTCGGCTCGTGCGTAAACTCCGCACCCGGGAATTTTCATCTTACCTCACTTGTTACACAAATAACTATATATCCATTTTAATAATATCTTTGTTTTATATAATAAGTAATCAGGGCGCGTACAACCACAGAATGAATGATAGGTAGAAGCGATTCTTTGATAGGGCAAAAATTATGTAACTATAGATGGCACAGGAGTGCCGCCTTTATATCATTTCCAACACTCCCCCGTAAAAAGGCAATTCCTGTGCAATACAAAAGAAAAAGAATAATAAAGGAGAGAAATTAATTCTTTAAACCAATGTCTTCGATACATTTTTCGTGCTTGGGTGTTGAGAGTCCTTTAGTTAGCACATCAGCAGGCATGTCCTCGGTTGGAAGATACCCAATTTTGACCTTGCCATATTCAACTGCTTCCCGCACGAAATGGTGTCGCAAGTTTATATGCTTGGTGCGTTTGTAGAAAATGGATTTTTCGCTATTAGTCCAGCACTTTGGTTGTCACAGAAAAGCATCGTAGTGTCCAACTTTCCCACGACTTCAAATAAAAATCTTCGTGTGTAGATGGTCTCCTTGGCCGCTTCGGACAGTGCCATATACTCTGCCTCGGCACTCGACATGGCCACTGTTTTTTGCTTCCTCGATGACCAACTGATAGCACCGTCAGCCAGTTTGAACACGTAGCCGGTGTAAGATCTTCGGTCGTCTATGCTCGAACCTCAATCAGCATCTGAAAAACCGACTAATTCGTTACCAGTTTTAGTGAAGGTGATTCCCAAATTCTCGGTTTTCTTCAAATAGCATAGCACACGCTTTGCAGCCTTCCAATGATCTTGACCAGGATTTTCATTAAATTGGCTGAGTATACTTATTGCGTGCGTTATGTCCGGCCGCGTACTTGTAGCTAAATACATCAAAGAGCCGATGAGATTTCTGTAGGGAATTTGGCTCATTTGTTTCTTGTCCTCTTCGGTGGCCGGGCTCATCTTCTTCGAAAGTTTCATAGCAGGATTCATTGGCGTAGCCACTGGTTTGCAATCTTCCATGTTGAAACGTTTCAGTACATCTTGAATGTACTTTTTCTGCGTCATGCGAATTTCGCGTTTCTTCTTATCTTGAGAGAATTCTATTCCAAGGCAATAGTGAAGTTGCCCTAGATCCTTCATTTTAAAAGATTTTGCGAGATTTTCCTTCAGTTCAAAGATGTTCTTGTCATTCGAGGCAAAAATGACATTGTCAACATAAATCACAGCAATCGTTAACTTTCCGTTCTTTCTTCGAATGTAGACGCAAGGGTCAGCATCAAGTGGTTTAGAACCTAGAAACTTTAGCTTTAAATCAAGCTCCTTATACCACTGATGGCCGGATTGCTTCAATCCATATATCGCTCTTTTTAGAAGACACACCTTGTCTTTGAATATCTTCTAGAGTTGCTCTTCTTCCAGCACTGTTGACAATCCTTCCGGAAGCTCCATGTAGATTTCTTCATCAATATGTCCGTTTATGAAAGCGCTGGTGAAATCAAGCTGATGAACTTCCAGTTCCAGTTTTGCTGCAAGTCCCATCACGATTCGAATGGAACCAATCCTGGCAACCGGGGCAAAGGTTTCGTGGAAATCAACGTTCGGTTCCTGTGAGAAACCTTTGGCCACTATCCGAGCCTTTCGACGTTCTACCGAGCCATTTGCCTTGAATTTGGTCCGTAGAACCCATCTCAAACCGA